CCACACAGTTCCCTCCAGGCAGAGTGGGTAAAAAGAAGGTGGGCATCAAGAGAGGTCTCGGGTTGAAGCGAGGACAGTGGACACTAGGGTGGTGAGTCACGGGCTGGTGCCTGCCCCCACTACAGGGCCGGACAGTGTATTCTCTAGTGAAACAAAATCTTAGGAGTCAACCTCCAGAAGGGGTCCTGAAGACCTAAACACCACTTCAAATGAATGTGATTCTATTCTGAACCCATCTGGTAACAGATCAGGTAAAGATGACACCCTCTGGGTGGTCATAATCCACTGTGATTCATGTTCTTTCTTTTTTGTTGGTTGTAGGGATTGAACTCTGGGCCTGGGCGCTGTCCCTCAGCTCTTCAGCTCAAAACTAGTGCTCTACCACTTGAGCCACAGCACCATGTCTGGTTTTCTGGTGGTTTATTGGAGATAAGAGTCTTATGGACTTTCCAGTCTGAGCAGGCTTTGAACTGTGATCCTCAGATCTCACCTCCTGAGTAGCTAGGATGACAGGCATAAGCCATGGGCACCCAGGCTTCATGTTCTTCTAAAGGGAAAAGAGACACATAGACAGGGACACGTGGGAGATACCAACAAAGACAGGCAGAGACTAGAGCAAAACATCTACAACCAAAGAATGTCCAGTCCTTCAGGAACAACCAGAGCCCAGAAGAGTCAGGAAAGGGACTCCTCTAGAACTCACACTGTGATCTCAGGTTTCTGCCTCCAGAGCTGAACGACCATGCATTTCTGCTATTCTAATAGGGAACACAATTTCCCATGGTACTTGGTGATGGGTGCACTAGAACCCCAAGCAGCAGGTAACCACGGAGCCAACTCTGCACACAGAACAAGAGACACAGGCACATTCTCTAACTCCAGCTCTTTTGCTCCTCCTCTCCTGGACCAACTGAATAGCACCACAGCAGGTCTCACACCATGGGTCAGCTTGATGGAGACTTCCCATGGGACTAATGCTAAGACAGCTAGCGCTGTCCCTATTCTGTCCCTGTCTTCTGTCTTAATGCACCGGGCAGAGGAAGGGCAGATGTGTTTCACAAGCGTGGTGACCACATTCTTAAAAGTAAAATTATCCCATTGCCATCAGGACAGAGGAATCTCCTTCTGTGCTCTTGTGCTGACTGCTAGTTCATAACAGTTCAAGAGTTCTTAAGCCAAAGCAACTAGAGCATGCCATCTAAGCCTCGTGTCTGTTCTCGCAATGGGATATTGAGGCTTAACCAGAAGTCATTGCACAAAGCTGTAGGTGAGGGGGAAAGATGGCCATGTAAAATGAAAACGCTACCACCAAACAGCTGGATCCAAGAATCCTGCAAATCCATTGCCCAGGCATTAATGAGAGACTTGATACTATCCACAAGACATGTTCTAAAATCCTTGCAGCCATCACTCTAAAGAAATCCAATTCAAGATCAGCTTGGAAATAGAAATGTCCATAGACACAGGGATAGCTAATAATATAATACCAAGTAATTTGGCCAACAAGTTCAACACCTGAGAAAAATTGGCCCCAAGAAAATGGACACAAAATGAGTATGAAATAGGCATGTTTCAGATGCTTTGGTAGGTTTTCCAAATCAGGGAGAGAGCATCAGAAATAATGGTGTGTTATACAATCAAAAGACAGGTAAAAATAGAATAAGCTGGTACAAACAACAGAAACACTTGGAGATGAAGAAACATGGCCACCCATTAATGAACACATCAAACAAGCAGCTGCCCGGATGCCCAGGACAGAATTTTCCTGGGATAAGAAAAGCATCTCATCTCTGCCCAGAGGGAATTCACGCTCCAGCAAAGAGGACAGCCAGCAAACAGAGCAGGGTGTGCGCAAACGGATCGGAGGTGCTACAAATAACCCTAAGTACTGCAGAAAACCTCAAGAAGGGTACAGGCGGTGTCTCCTGGGGTAGCCTGTGGACACCATGCTGTTCAGAAAAAGACATACAACATGTAGAAAAAGAACATTCCAGAAAGAGGGGGAGGTCTTATCCTAATGAATCAATTCTACGATTATTAGCAATAATGATAAAGTAAATACCATATTGTTGATGAAACTTAAATGTCCCATTAAGGGGAACCATCTTAATGACACTTGCCCTTCCTTATTCACCTTGTGCTAAAAGTCCTAGACAATAAATTAGAAAATGTGCTACTCGGCTATGAATGAAAAAAGGATTTCAAAGGGAGAAAATCATGTCTGGCAATTAGCAGATGACAGCGGTCACTGTAGAAAATAAGCTGAGACTCTCAGACAAACTAATAGCTTTAACAAGAGTCCGCAAAGACCACAGAGTAGAGATCAACATAGAAAACAATATTGTTCTTACGTATCAATATTAACCAATTAGACAAAAAATTGTAAAATTTCCGTTAATAAAGAAAAAATCAGGCATCTAAGAACAAATGTCAAAAATACTGCTAATTTTATAAAGAAGGAGAAGTCTTAGAAACATACAAAACATCACTATATCATTCAGTAGAAAGACTTAACATAAAAGACAGCAAGATGTCCGGTGATTTTTTTTTAATTGTGAAAATACAGTACAGAGGGGTTATAATTACATGGGCAAGATAATGAGTACATTTCTTATCAAGCATTGTTGCCTCCTCCTTTGTTTCCCCTTCCCTTCCCTTCCCATCTCCCATCTCCCTACCCCTCTTACCCCCACAAAGTTGTAAAGTTCGTTTTTCGACATAACGACTTGGACATCTCATTGTTGCTATGGGTCCACCTGTATCCCTATTTAAACGGTTTGTTTCTTCCCTTCCCCTGCACAAATTATACCAACATCAAATACAATGAAAGCAGGGGTTATACCATGGGGGAGGGTGATTTTTTTAAGAGTATCTTTTTAAAAGCTCCTGGGCTTTAAATATCTTTCAAATCAAAAATTCTGATATCAATCCAGATATTGAATATCACTGATTATTCAATCCATATGGAAAAGCAAGCTTAGAACTCAAAGCGGGAGAAACGCGGCCCACCTGAGAGGATTCATTCTAATAAACAAGAAACAGAAAGTGTCACTGGGGCAGGGAGGCCTTGGGGTCATGGTATGGAGAACTGCTCTTCTGTCCCTCCTGCTCTTGTGTTCCCTGTGCTCTGGGGGTGAGGACCAGGGAGTGCCCTTGAGCCACTTGAACCCCAGTGGGGGGCCAGGCACGCCAGGGTCCAAGGCACACAGAGAGGCAGGCACGGAGGACAGGGGAGCTGGCTAGGCCCGGGAGCTCATGGTCAACTCTCTAAGGAACTCTCTAAGGACAGCGGTGAAGTGCACTGGAGCCACTTTCAGCTTCCTGCACCCAACATCACAGCACCATGTCACATCCAGAAGAAGCTGAGACCCAGAAACTAGAATGGGCCTGGCAGATGTCCCAAGAGCAGGGACTGATTAAAAACTCATCTGCAGGCCCTTCCGTCTGCAGGTTCCTTCCAACCAAGACACACCCCACGCCTCGTCCCTGCTGTGCACGTGAACCTTCCTCTATTCCCATCTGAGCCTCTGCAGCAAGGACACCAGCTAGTCTCCTCTCCCTGTGGCTCTTCTTCTGTCTGCTCCTGGATCCTGTGATCCTGTTTGTCTCTCCTCCCCCAGTTCTTGATGGCCTCACCAACACTGGCAGGGCCCCCTGGGCTGCTCCATTGATTAGCTCACTCCCTGAATGGCACAAACGCCTTTGGCTGTGGTTACAAGCTGGCAGAGAACAGCTCATCTACTGTCTCCAGCCCAGACCTGCGACCTACACCATCTGCCATTCTCTCAAGCCACCAGACGGGCAGGGCAGGGGTGACCACCCACGGGGCAGCGGATCAGCAACATGAGGGAAAACGGACTGGTGGATCACAATCTCTGAAAGACATGATGCCAGCACAGGTAGGCATTTGCAAAGCTAAGCGCCTTACCAAGAGCAAAATAACCCATAGGTCCTGACCAGAAAGCAAAGCCATCTTCCCTGGATGTGATCTCATTGACAAGATTCTGCCAAGCACTGGGGAGACGATCAGAGTCGAGAAAGAATGTAGGAGCCCCAACCATCTGGCAGGGTTAGGGGCACACAGGGTGCTGGGCTGCAAGACGGAAGGCAAGAGCAGACCAGGCGATAGCTCCATAGTCCAACCATCACAGTCAGCAGGACCAGACCGGCTCCATGCTGCTGGCAGGACTGGTAACATACCACGGCCACTGGGGGACTTCGGCCACCCAGCAGGTCTGCAATGACTATATCAAAAAGAACTGCTTCTCTGTTCTTGGCTTATTTTACTGTCATTTGGATGAGAGGAATATGATTCAGTGATTTTTATTTTTGCCCACACTCTGACCACAGATGTTAATAAAAATAATAATAATCAATTATACATTCTACAATTGCTCAAATAGGTTCTAAACATTCCACCTTCTGAAAACACAAGTAGGCAAGCTTCTTAACATGTTCGTTAGCTTGAGATGACCTTCTTACAAAATATAGCTGTATCGAGACATATTTTTATCCCATAAAGATATACAGTTATACCAAGCATCCTGGTTCATGTCCATAAGCCTAGTTCAGTTACCAGGAGCATCTAGACACAAAGGATCATGGTGCCTATGCTGCACACACCTGCAGCCCAGATATGCAAAGTTCAAGTTCAGGTTAGCCCAGGAAAAAATTGAGAGCCTGTTCAAAGACTAGCTAAAGCCAAAAGTCCTAGAAGTGTGGCACAGGTAGTAGAGCACATACCTGGCAAGCCCAAGTCCCGGAGTTCAAGCCCCAGGAACACCAAAGCATGCATATATGTTTGCATATATATGTATATATTCATATATAGATAGTACAGATATAGTTTTTTTTTAATGATGAACAAATGCACCATTTCTAGATTTTTAAAAAAAATTGTTCTTGATCTCCTCTTTAGTGTCTAAGGCCAAGTTTACAGAAGTAAGTATGGCAGGAGTCAAGGCCCACCCAGGAAACACACCAACATGCTCTGTCCTTACCTGGTCCCACGGAGAGACGGTGGCCCCAAAGCCCATGAACAGGTAACCCATGGCGACCAGGCAGATCCAGATCACCAGGGAGAACACACGCAGCAGCTTCTTAAACACGGACTCAATGCACACGAGGATGAATATGGCAAAGAAGATGGCCAGGGCAGTTGGAACTGTTATTAAAAATGCCACGTGGTCTTCCACCGCCTGAGGAAAGAGAAACAAAACATGGTGAGGTGAGACCCAGAGCCGTCTTGACAGCAAGGGTGTGCATATGCTGTGACAACACTGCCCACGGCCACCCAGATGGACGCACACTGGGTTTAAGCTTCTCACACGTAGAAGAGTTTGAGCTTTCAAATGGCTACGTTTTACATTAAATAGCTGTTTTTCTAGGTAGTTGTTGCCTACTTAAAGTAGGTAAAACACCCTCACGTACACATTTGCCCTGAGACATGGAGAGATGAATGAACGTTAGACAGTTATACAGATATGCATCTGAGATGAATGAATGCAAGATCAATGAGTGAATGCCAGGAAAAAAATAATAACATTGCCAAATTTACTGCCTGAACCAGAGGATCATAAATACCTTGGCCTCGGGAAATAAGTCTTCAAATGTATTTAAAATGTTTTATTCAAAAATTTTTTCAACTACCTCCATTTCTGAAATGATGAGCTTTTATTTTAATGCATGGCAATTAGCGTTTTAACGGGATCACAGGTTAATAGAAGAGGGTCAGAGAATACTAAATATAGACATCTGGGGAGCGGGAAGTGCTTAGAAGAGTACCACTCTGACTACCTTGCTTCCTCCTCTCATAGCTCCAGAAGCAAACAGAAAATGGGCAGTTCTGATTAGCCTCTGTCTAGGGCATTTTTCTTTTTTTCTTTTTTTTATTTTTTTGGGTCCAGTTGTGGGGCCTGAACTCTTTGCCTGGTTGCTGTCCCTCAGCTCTTCAGCTCAAGGCTAGCACTCTACCACTTGAGCCACAGCGCCACTTCCGGTTTTTTCCTTTTGCCTAAGGGGGGCTGAGGAATCGAACCCAGGCCTCATGCATTGCAAGGCAAACGCTCTACCACTGAGCCACCTTCCCAGCCCCTCCAGTGCATTTTTCTAAGTTCATTTTCTTATATTTCTGACTATTTTCTATTTGCTTCTTTCCAGCCACACACATGCACACACACACACACACACACACACACACACACACACACAATTTCAGACCCACATAAGGTCCACACTATGCCACAGATAATCGTGTTGCCTCTAGCCACCCATGCTAGGGCTGGGAAGTCGCTTCTGTGATGCCTTAAACCAGGGTCTTGCTATGGTCAGCATCACTCAGGGGTGAAACACAGCTGAAAGTCCTTTAATCCTCATCTAAGATATACAACACAGTTTTCAATTAAAAAGTCTCACATAAAGCCGGGCTCCAGTAGCTCATGCCTGTAATCCTAGCGACTCAGGAGGCTGGGATCTGAGGATTGCGGTTTGAAGCCAGGGCAGGAAAGTCCATGAGACTCTTATCTCCAATAAGCTTCTCAAAAGGGCTGGAAGTGGTGCTGTGGTTCAAGTGGTCGAGTGCTAACCTTGAGCAAAAGAAGTTCAAGTACAGCACCCAAACCCAGAGTTCATGTGCCAGGACAGGCAAAAAACAAAAGAAAAAGAAAAATGAAAGAAAAAGAATCTCAGAACCATACAAGCTTCCATTGAGGTTTTGGATCTAAGTACTGAGTACTAAGCTCTGGGACTCATGGAGCAGCTGTCAAATAGTATAGCCAGATGCTCCCTAAGCTTTACCATCACACTAGCAGCTCGAACTTCACACTAGAGGTGGCTCTATCCAAATGCCAAGCTGACCACCGGAAGGCCACCCACAACCCACAGGGGGCCAGCTTACCAGGGAGGAGAAAGAACTGGATGTAGACGCCCTCCAAGGAACTTCATCTGCTTTTCTCTTTCTCTTAATACAATGTTACATATTGTATTATCTATCTATTGTAAGGTAAATCCAGCCACCAGTGAAGCCACATGTTGAGAGGTCAAATTGGGAGTCAAATTGGACAGTCGATGTCTGTAGGTGGACTATTGTCAAAAAGATGTGTAGCCCTGCGAGTACACTTAACATTGTTAGAAAACTGAGCTATGAAAGCCAGAGAGTAAAGAAAGAGCAGAAACATTACCGACAAGCCGGATCAGCTTCAACGAGGGGCTGATGTGGGGCGCCAGGCTGGCTGGAGGACAGCCAGGGGACACAGAGACAGGAGACGTGTGGCGTTCCCGGCATCATGGTGAGTGGGCCGGTCTGGGCCTCAACAGGGTCAGGTCAGGGTGCAGGGTCACAGGAAATGCGAGAGCCTCTCAAGCTCAAGTCACAGCATATGTCCAGTAACCCATCATGTAAGTCACCACTCCTGCTTCTAGGAATTCAGGCACACCATCACCCAGGAGTGGAACTTCCCCTTCCTCCACCATGGAGACCAGATGGCACCAGTTAAGCCCATTTCCCTATTTACTGTGTGGCCAAGATGGCGCCGGTTAGACCCAGCATCCCCACTTCACTCTCTATATCTGCATTACAATTTTATGAGGGAGGCCTCATGTTAACCTCCTATGAAAGCAGAGAAACTGCACACAGGGAGGGCTGAAAGGGATGGTGGGCTAGCACAGAGACAGCCAGAGTCTGAAAGGCAGGTACTCAGCCCTCCTGTCAGGAAGCAGGCATTAGCTCAAGCGAGGCAGAGTTGCCTTTACCTGGGCAGAAGAGCAAGCGTTCCCAAAACTGGCAGGACACCAGACACTGCATGAGATCCCTTTCTTTCCCTCTACCACTACTGTCACCAGGAGCATGTCCTTAAGTCATTACTGTTAGCCTGAGACACTTCTGACTGTCACTGCAAAAGGCTAGGTCAGATACCACCAGCCCCACATAGCCTACATCATCAGACTTGCAGTGGACAGCAAGCTGATCTCACACAAATCTTCCCCAATAACTAGGCAGAAGGCCAGCTTAATATTTTTCCAGTAGGACTTTTCACTTAGATGATGAATCTAGTAGAAGAGAGAACAATATCAAATTCATGGGATCTTACATCTCCAGAAAGACTAAAAAACTCAAAATAAGCATTAGTTAACTGTGGGGGAAAAAAGATTGTCACCTATCCTTCTAGTAAGTGTGGACCAGTGTGGTCCCATAGGAGCTTCTTCCACAGCCCCCTAGGAGAGCACCTGTAAACATGACACTCAAGGTCTTGGTGGATACAGCATATAAGATTGGATGTTGTTGTTGACTAAACTATCTACTCTCCCTTTTAAAAAATATTTTTTACGGTAAAGATACTGTACAGAGGGGTTACAGTTACATGAGTAAGGTAGTGACTATATTTCCTATTGAGCATAGGAAATGCACATAGTTTTGCCCCTACTATCCCTTCCCTCCCTTCCTCTCCCCTCACCAAGTTGTAAAGTTTTTTTAGTGTCATGTACATCTCATTATTACAATGGGTCAACCTGTATCCTTGTTTCAGCATTTTGTTATTTCCCTTCCTCTCCCCAAATTAGAAAAATGTATATAGAGGGCACTAGAATCAAATACAGTGACAACAGGGAAATAACCTACAAAAGAATCAAAAAAATCACATAGTACATTAAAACAACAGCGACAAAGAAAAAAAAAACCTCTATGTTCCCATCTTGGGGTTCATTTCACTTAGCATCATCTTATATAGCTTTTGACATTTTCTGCTTGTCTGGTAAGATTATCCTAAACGTATACTAGTTATTGCAAATAAGGGAAGCCATGGGACCTATGTTTCTTTGCCACTCTCCCTTTATAATTAACATTTATTTAGTTATTGTCATAGTGTGGCTTGAACTCAGGGCTTCCAGCTAGTGCTTGACTTGCTTGCTCAGGGCTGATGCTAGCTCTCTATCACTTGAGTCAGGCCTCCAGCTTGGCATTTTGCTGGCTATTTGGAGATGGAGTCCCTCAGACCTTTCTGCTTAGGCTGGCTTTTAATGATAATCTCTAATCTCAGCCTGCTGAGTTGCTAGATTACAGGCATGAACCACTGAAATTTTTATAAATATCAGATCGCTGAGAAATCACTTGTCTAGGTTGCAAGGTACCTTCTCCATTTGTCCCAAGACACAGTCCCTAGTTCCCACAATTCCCTTAGACATCCACAAAGTATTTTATTTAAAAAAAGAGGAGGGAAAAACAAGCACTAACTTTTAGAGCCAATATTTATGATTATACACGTCGTTACAGTAACCCAGTTGCCAACTATAATTCTTTGTATGTTTTCAGTACCTAAGCCAAAATGAGGATGCTGCGTGGCTCGGTGCACCCTTGCGGCCAAGCAGGTGGACAGCCTCAGGTTTACCCCGTATTCCGGCAGAGCAGAGCTGCTTCCCGGGAAGACTCATCGTGTGGATAAGCCAAAGTCCTTCACGGGGCAACTGCACTGGTCAGTCAGCTGCTGCTCACGATGCTGTCACCTCACCGTTCCACCAATGCAGGGAAGAGGGCAGCCTCTGACTGCTGGGTCATCTGCCTTTGAGCTTCAGCTCTGGATGAGGCTTAATATAGATTCCACAAATTAGAACTTTTTATATGGTGCCTCAGACGAGCATTTATTAAAAAATGTGCATGCTTATAAGCTACATCCTCCTTCAACCTTGCTGTGTTCACATGCCTAAGTGCACTGCCTCAATCTCTCCCTGTCCCCAGCAGATAGAAGACAAGGAAGCCACAGAGCCACAGCCCTCGGCTGTGTTCTGAGAGGGCTGAATTTTCAAACTTCAGGGTATAAAATAGAATCACTTACAACAGCAAACTAAAATACCAAAAACATCATCAATTTACATGGAGCATTTCTAGGTGTACCTCTCCCTCCTTCCTTTGTAGAAAAAAAAAGTTACCATGAAATCCAAACTAAATGGAATTTTCTAAGTAAGTGCCTTTAGTGGTACTAAAATGCTTTGAAGTGCCTTTTAAAAGGCAAAAAGAAAATACCATATAATACATAGTCAATGAAGTATACCGCACAGCCTTCTACAAAGGGCATTTTCCGCACAGTGCCATCCCGCGTAATGAAAACGAGTTTCTGTCGCTCTCTTTGAACATGTTATCTTTTCATTTCTGCTGCCTTTTCTGGTCATTTTGCATGGCTTCTAATTGCCAGGCCTATTAAATTCCCA